CTGAAGATCCAGAAAGACACAATAAAATGAATAAAAGGCTATTGAACAATTAAACGAACGACTAATCTTTCTAATAGAAAGTAATATGAAGAGAAAAAGAAAAACAAATAAAACATATGATAAGGACACATCAGAACTCAACTGAGTAATTCTCAAACTTGAAACCTTAGAAAAAGTACCATTAACAAGAGTAACACTATAAGGGGGACCAACAGAATGATAGGTAGCAAAAGGCACTAGACAAACCAGCCATGTGATTAGAAGTGCTAGAGTCTATGATCCAAGGACTACAAATAGAGGACAATAAACAAGTGGAAGTGGTACCTGACTAGGCAAAAATAGAAATGAAGGAGGATAGAAAGGCATGTTGCTAAGACATGAACTGGACATACTCTTCTCATGTAATATTAACTCACTCAAAATCAAAAGGTGCTGAACGGGATGAAGATGCAAACAATGGGGAAGAATAAGAGACCTGATTGACAACATCAAATGACTTACCATGTAAATCCCAACAACAATCATCAGTGTGGTTAGTACAATCACAATGCGTACAAAGATGAGGACCCGAACGGCCTCCACGACCTCCCCCCCCCATGAGAATCACTATGACGACAACCACCACCACCATGGGCACCACGATTATTACGACTACCTTGAGTACTACCATTGTTGCCATTAAAGACAACTAAGGCTGATAGGTCAACAGGAAGACTATAATCAATACCAGAAGGAGGATGGTCAGCTGACAAAGTAGCACGCTATAAGCGAGAAAATACATTTAGAAGGGAAAGAAGGCTGGGACCTCCTAAGATCTAGGCACGGATAGGCTTATACTCAGGCTTCAAACCAACAAAAAGCAAATACCATCTAAATCCTCACGTTGCCTCTACATAAGTGCAACATTAGTGGTGAAGGGGTGGAGCATCCTCAATTCCTCACAAACTCCCATAACTAAGGAAAAATAGTCCTTTAAACTCAAGGTATCCTGCTCAAGATGAAAATATTGTTTTCATACCTCATAATCACAAGTGAAATTACCAGTGCCAGAATAATTATTGTCAAACGATCCCAAACTTCCTTAGCAGTATCTAGACAAAGCAGGGTAAAGCTAATACGTGGCTCAATACTATTCAACAGTAACGAAATAATTTGTGCATCCTCATGTTCCCACTTATCAAATCTAGGGTTACTTTCCTTGGTTTAGCTCCCACCAAGTATTTTTTAAGACCTTGTTTTTAGGAAAAACTTGAACAAATTGAGACCATAAAGATAATTATTCCCATTAAGTTTGACTAAAGTCATGGGAGAATGAAGAAAAGTAGCCGGGGAAAGTGAGGGTGGCAAGGTGAAGGTTAAAGGGGTAGTATCAGTCTTGGGCTACATATGTATACCACAAATTGGCTATTAGTAGAGAGGAGCAGTTGAGTAGCTTGAACTATCACAGATTTGGAGAGCAAAATGCTGAACCAGTGGCAAAGGGGGCTGAACCAATCATATCCGTGGTGAACCGGCTTGAAAGAGGCGCTGAACCGGGCTGAATAGTCTTTTGGGTGCAACAACAGAGACTGCAGAAGGGACATATAGTGTGAAACCGGTAGGAGAAACAAGGAACCAGAGTGAATCATGTGAGAACCGGCCTGAACTGGGTGAGAACCGGCGGTTCAGGTGGGGAAGATGGGCTCACCGGGACTGGATCCAGACGAATGGGCTTGGGCTGGATCAAAATAGTGGGTCTGGGCTGGAACACCTAAACTGGGTCCGAACCAAATGGGCTTGGGCTGGAAAATTGAGTTTTGGAGATTACTTCGGCACGTTAAGGAGATTACTTCGGCACACCAACTGAGGAAACCAAACCACCAGCGACTACCACTATTAAAATCAACAGAACCTCCGGCAACCAAGAAACATCCACAAAACTAAAACAATCATCAACACTCAACTTCGAGCAAAGCCTTAGGTCCAAGAACAATGATTCCAACAATCAATCTTTGGGCATACAGGGACAACAACAGTAATCGAGGCCCATCACCAAAGCATCTCCAATATCTAACCACTATGGGTGGCACAGTAAACAGGAACAGAAGAGAGGAAAGAGAAGAAAGAGAGAAAATGATAAAAGGAAAAAAAAAGGAAGAAAATATAGAAAAAGAAGATGAAGGTTTTGGATGAATTTGTAAGTTTAGAGAATGAAGAGAGAATAATAAAAGAGAGGTAAAGAGTAGTAAAACATAACTTACCTCTCTCTCAACTTATATTTATGGTTACTTAGGAAAATATAAAGGACTAGTATACTCTTAGTGAGGGATACTTATTACAACTATAGAAACAATATAATAAGATACTCTCAACATCTTCCAATGCATTAATCAACACTGCCAGCAACTACAATTTCATTTGCTAGATACCACAATTTTCCTGACCCACACCAACTTCCACAGTAACATCACTTCCACTTCACTCATCTGTAACAACACCATGCAATGCTTGCTTTTAAAAGTAACCGCCCAAAAAGGAAACGAATTCTAGAGAAAACTTATATCCATATGGTAAATTAAAAATAACCCTTTTGAAATGAAAGGATTATTTTTGGTGGGAAGTAGTCGTTTCTCCTACATTCTGCAACACATTCACCAATAACACAACCTCTAAAATCTACGCAGCAGAACTAACATCACATCCACCTTTCTACCAGCACCACCACCAACATCTCTCCGGTTGTTTGCACAACTAAAAATCATACCATCACGACCAACAACCACACTTCTGATACCAAACTGCTACCATCACATACTAAAAGCCCCACATTGCTACCACCACTTCAACCAACTCCAATACCACAGTTGCACATGCCTTTTTTCGCACCCCAGATGAACATAGCAATAATTTTACAATATAATTGCAACAGAAAGAAAAGAAAATGACAAGTAAGGAAACTAAATGGATTTCCTATACTACTTCAGAATATAATGGATAGGCGTATATATATTTTCATAGCATGTTGTTGACATTATCCTTGCATCAATAGAGCATAAAGATTTGTTTTTCTTGACAAAAGCAATTTCCAAAAAGTATAACCAAATAAGTGTTTATCAATGTCTTGAAGAAAGGAACAAAAAAAGGGCCTATAAACACCTATATATTTTTTCAATGTTTAAAATTATGCGTGTCAGGTATAAGAAAAATTTTAGCTCCCAAAATGCCAGAATAGCACCAAAAAGCTGAAGGTATTGACAGTGAATAGGTAAAGCAAGTTGAGCTAAGCCAAGTACTGGACATTCAAATTTGACTTGAACATTGATGAATATCTGAGCTTGAGTTTTTGTCACTTAAACATTTTCAAGCTCAGTTGGCACTATTTGACTAAACTAGAGCATTGTCTGTTCAATTGAACTCATTTTAAAAATTAAAGTGTAAAAAAATCTACTTTGTTTACATCCAGGAATTTGATAAATTGAAAGTTCTGAAGAAGAGCCCGGAGAATTGTCGTTACCAAGGAACTCAAAAAGTGGAAACAATTCGCTTTTGTTGAAAATATGACTTTGGTTGTTTTGTTCGCCAATCTTTTCATTCTACTATAAGGCTATACCCCTATAGAGGATTGCATTAAAATATACATCATCATAATTACGAGCTTTGCTAATAATTTTTATGTTGAAGCATGGTTCAAAGGATCGCCCAATACCGATACGACTCAACCAAGTGATTTCCAAAAATGGAACCTTTTGTTGCTTGATTGATATATGTTCTGTGTCAACAATAGGTATCCCTCAACTAGTGGTTGACTTAGAGAAATTTCGGATGACATAGACAAATCTTTCACATCATTGTCATCGAATGGTAGCATATCACTTAATACCGTTCTAAGACGCTATAATATAATATGTCTCTCTAACTGTGTCCAATTTTTCTTGTCTCTAGCATTTCGTGCATATTGCCTATTACCCAAGGGTACAAATAAACAGAACCAAGCTGAATACTATGCTATTGAGACTCGACCCATCTATGTTTTTAAAAATGTCCAATATCAGCTCAAACAATTTGATGAAACTCACCACATAAAATGTATACCCAAACTCGTGCTCGGCTCGGCACAATTCGAAGTAAGCAAGCCAAGTAGTTCACCCCACGCAAGTTCTAGGAAATAGAGCAACTGAAGTCCCTTTTATAGCAGACCATTAGCCTCTCTTTAATTACATCTATTTGATTCTGCATTCTTTCTTCATACTTTAACCTGGTTGAGCTTCAATGCTCATGTAGCGCCCTGACTCTTTTCTTCTGTGTTTCAATATGAATTGATTGTTCCCCTGTACCGAGAATGGATTAATTCCCACTTTCCCTCTCTGATTCCTAACTCTTTGAGTTTTTCATATTCCTAACTAAACTAGCTTTTTACTAGCATTAGTGTACCACAAGTAAAACTCAATTGATTTTCAATCACCTATAGAGAAGAACAAAAACAAATTTCCGATGCCAAATCATCAAAAAATTTTAAGGTAATCACAAATGTGCGTGGGTCATATATATAATGAGCTCAATTTGTTCACATGCTAGACAAAACGAAAAACAAATCACACAAGTCATTCTTAAGCTCGGATAGCTTATTAAACAAGCTTTAAAATCGGGCTCGAGCTAGGTTTATTTTATCGAAGAGCGAAAATGAATACGTTTTTTAGTCTGAGCCGATCCCGAGCTGTTAATGAATAGCTCGATTCATTTGCAACCCTTGCGATGTCACTATCGGTACATTTCAATGCTCTCCAAGTCGACGACCAACATCACGACCTTGAACTAGGGGTTGAACATGTAGCTTATGTGTAACTGCTCAAAGATACATCAAATAGAAGAAACTAACTACATTGCATAGAATCTTACCCCATTGAAGAACAGGAAACTCCCACCTCTGTTTGGGAACTGTAATAACATATGATGCAACCTGCAAAGAATTGGGAACTCTTTTAAAAGGAAGACAAACAGGGAAAAAAATGCCATAGATTACTTTAGTAAAATCTAGAAAATTTCAGAAAACTTGCCAATATGCACGCAGCTAGAGAACGGGGAGAACTATAAAGAACAGACATGTCCTCCTTTTCATAGAGAATATCCATAATATCCATGCATGCTTCAAAGCTCAAGTGTTCCCCAACCCTTGCAACTCCCCTAAATTCACACAAAGTATAGAAGAGATGAAACAAGTGACCCTGTAAGGATTACATATTAATTGAGCGGATATCTAACCAAATGATTGTCTAATGAAGAAAAGTGCAATCCTAGTATTAGCAAAGAAACTCACTTCAACTGAATGAGAAGCTCTTCAACAAATATAAAGGCAATATTTGATGTACCAATCTCAAAATCCAATACCTTAAGAAAATAGAGAAAAGAAAAAACAAAATCATCACAACTTAACCTATCTGATAAAAGAGAAGTCAATAGTCTTCCAAGATTTACCTGCATTAAGACCACCTCCTGCAGAATATCTTCATTAACCACCATGACATTGATAAAATATGTAGCTACACACCCCTTAAAACATTGCTGAAAATAACAGTCTTACTGCTTCTAGAAAATCTCGACTAGTAAAATGTTGTTCCTTTATGATCTTGTCTCCCAAAGACTTCAAAACTTTTACAGATAGCGGATGAGACTCATGCATCTGCAAAGTGTTGAAGCTAGAAGCATGTAAGAAACAACATCATTATTGACAAAAGCCCAGTCTAATAAAGCCAGATTACTTACTTTGCTTGATATCCATATTGAAGTAAGAACAAATAACTGCAGATTGCTTTCTCTCAGGGGTTGTAAGAGCCAGTGTCCCGTGTTACTGCCTTGTCTGCAACTAAATGGTTAGAGAAAATAATTTATGCAAAAATTAACCAGCCACCCCTCCAGCTTGCAAAGGCATAAAAGGATGTCATTTACAATTATATCTAAGCAATCCAGCAAAGCTTTCTGTTCCAATCTGCATCATGTTTTCTTATCAGGGGGAGCACGTTCTCTAATATACATAACTCTTAAATAGGCAATATATGTGCATTTCCCAATGTTCAAGATTTATAGAACCCTTATGTGCTTACATTCTCCACAATAAAGTGGCCATCTAAATCTCACCCTTGATTAACATTTTTGTTACAACTTTTGGCCCCTGGCTATGCCGCTAGTTTCAATTAGGCCCCTAAACTAAATTTTGTCACAATTTACCTCTTCATTTTTTCAAATTTAATTAATATCAACCTTCTGTCCTAATCCATCAGATTTTCTAACAGAAGATTACATGTGAATTTCACGTGACAAGGAATGCAGGAATATTCAGTAGAATACTTCAATATCCCAGCCAATTACCTATTCCATTCAGTCATTTCTACCCCTTTTGTCCTGCACGCACTCTAAAACCAGGCCTCTGAATTTATAAACCTCCTTTCATACCCCCAAGTCTTGATTTCATACACCATCTCTTTTGCCTATGACACCATGTACTCTATTTCTTACTAAAGGTGTCACCTTATGCTTTTTTCTGGCTCTATTCTCAACATTCTTCAACCGTCCAAAAGTGCTTCTAGTGCCATTTACATTTCGTATGTTACCGACAAATCAACCAATTTTATCAGCAGTAATAGTGGGGACATTGATCAATAGGGCAACAAGGAGTGGATTACAAACAAATCTAAGTTAGCATTATATGCACACAGTAGGTATTCTCGTAATCAAACCCACAATTTCATGATTGTTAGCCTATCAGTTTACCACTGTACTAGAGAAGCCCCAATTACTTGAAAAACTAACACACTTTCTTAACAGTAAACTCTGAAGGCATCAAAATTAACGTTTTTTTCGGCATTTCCATCTACAAACATAACTAATATAGATTAATAAAATTCTCACACAACTATTTCAGTAGAAATAACACATGGAACAAGGTGGAAACAGCCGCGAAAATGAACGAACACTGTTTACCTGGAGGAAATAGACGGGTAAAATCTGTCGGCGAAGAGTGCTAATGCGGAGTATTTGACGATGGGAGGAACTTCAAGTTGCTTTAACCAGGAATCAAATAATTAAACGAACATATCAAACACCTCCAAACAATAAACGAATCATATAGATAACAATACATTTGTGTTTTGTGTATGTGTGTGTGTGTGGAGAGAGGGAGAGAGAGAGAGGGCTTTGGAATCTTACATGAGCAGATTGAATGAGGAAGTCCAACACTCGACCACGCAGACCAATCTTACATGGACATAGCTCACCCGTCATCGTCTCTCTCTCCCTCTCTCCCTCCGTCCCGGGAAGGATTTTGAAAATTAGAATTGGAAGGAAAAGTTATATTTGTTTTTTTGAGTAAATATCACAAGGACCCATGAGTTTCTCGTAATTATATAGACACCCCTAACAGTTTAAAATAGAAGGATCCATTTGTTTAAATTGAAGGCACGAAAAAACATAAATTTGAGCAGCCAAAAGATCCATCCCACTACATTAAGCAATAATTTTTTTTTTTCATTTATTTAATTACATCATTTAAAATTAATTTTTATCTATTATTTTCTTAAAAATATCAATAAAATTGTTGGCTATGAAAGCTCCAAGATACAACCCCAAGCTCGTAGTCAGCCCCAACAATGGCATGTCTGATTGGGATAAAGTATAAAGACTTTGTCTCGTTGCCCAAACTTTCGAGAATGTATAATATAGTATACTAGTAGAAGAAATATAGGAGATAAGACATAAGTATGTATTTTTTCGTTGTGTTTCAAGAGTAGAGGTGGCTAGCCTTATATAGTTTGCAAGGGTGGGTAAAAATAATTTGGGGCCTAAAATGGTACCTCTGAACGAGGTCTTCTATATTTAGTATTAATATTTTTTATTTAAAATTAATTTTTCTTATTTTTTGAGTTGCGAAAGTACTAATTAAATTTTTATATTCAAGTTTTACTACCATATTTTTTTTAGTTGATAGTATTGATAATTCAGTTAATTTTTCTTGTGACATAATCGATCTTAAGTAAGATTTTATCAATTTTAATTTTGAAAATATTTTTTCTGCTGAAACAACTGTTATAGGAATTGTTAATAATATTTTATAAGCCATAAATATAATTATAAAAGAATCTAACATTTTTATATAATTTAGTATCTCAATTGGAGTGTTTTTAGAAAGAAGTTGGAGTTTCTCTCTCATTTGTAAAATTTCTTTTAAAATATTTAGTTCTAAAAATAAATTTAAATCATCAATGTCGAAAAAAAATTCGTGTTTTAAGAAACATTCGAGATTCAAACAATATTATTTTAAATTATCATCGATTAATGATTTTAATTTTTCTGAGTTAAATAAAAAACCAAAAATATTTCGTACTTTTGTAATTATTCAAATCTACTATTTAGTGAAGAAATAACTTGATCAATTATATATATAAAATAATCAATTCTAAAAGATTATTCAATAGATTGTTTCCTCGTTATCAACATTTGTATCAAATTGTTTCTTTCTACGAACTCTACATTTTTTATGAAATATATATTCTATACCCATTTCACATGCAATCTCTTTAGATGAAATCATAGTATTTGTAAATTCACTTTCCCTATATTTTTTTTTTAAAAAAAGACTTTTTAATTGATCTATACCAATATTAGTATGCACATCTTTTAATTGTAAATATTTATTAACTAAGTTGACAGAAAATAAAATATCATACCAAATAGTAATGCCTAATAAGAACTCAAAATTTTTAATCTCATATGTTTCTAAACAATTAGCTTCACTTCTTATTTTAAGATATTCATTAGTTTCTGCTAATTGCAATAATGTATCTCTTACTTTTGTAGCTTGAAATCTTATTGCTTTAACACTTTCAACACGACTTTCTCAATGTGTTTGTGACAATGACTTAAGAGTTAAACCTTAAACATTATCTTGTAAAATTTTTCATCGTTTTGTGGAAGAGAAAAATAATGAATATATACGTTGTACTATTCCAAAATATGTTATAACTTTGGGACAAGAGTTAGTCATATTACAAAGTACTATGTTTAAATTATGACAACCACATGGTGTGTAAAATGCTCTAGGATTTCTATTGAGAAGTCTTTTTTATACACCTTAATATTTTTCTATCATATAAGATCCATTATCATGTCCTTGTTCTCATACATCATTCATATCTAGTTCAATATTACTTATTACAGCTATAAGTTTATCAAATAAACATTTTTCACTCGTATCATCATCCACTTTAATAAATTCCAAAAAATTTTTATTTTTATTTTTATTGAACTTGTTGTAATATCTACGCATCGTAATATGAGAGACATTTGTTCATGATGACTTGCATCGGGAGTACAATCAAGTATGATTGAATAATATTTTACTTCTTTAATTTTTTTTAATAATATTGCTTCTTACTTCATTTCCTAACAAACTTATCAATTCATTTTATATGTTATGTTCAAGATACTGGTTATGAATTCTATCTTGTTGAATACGACGAACATGTTCTTACATTATCGGATCAAATTCCACAATTATTTCCATTAAACTTAAAAAATTGTCAGTATTTTCTTGATATATCTTTTCATTTTTTCCCGAAAAACTAAATTATATTTACCAAGATCCTTTATAACGGTAATAATTCTTACTAATACATTTTGTCAATATTCTTTTTGTCTATTAATTTGTTCTTGGATACTTTTATCAATTATTTTATTTAGTTGCAATCTTGTTTCTAATTCAATCAAAGTATTTATATTAGTTATATGCTCATTAGTTACTTCATGATTTTTAAGCTTAACACCAACATTTCTCCAATGTTGTGTTCATTCATTAGCTAGTTTACTTGTACAATGATTCATATTGAACAACTTGCAACAAAAACAAAATACTTTATCCAAATTTTTTGAATACACTAGTCATCTTCTATTAAGTGTTTTCTCATTTGTTAATTTGCGAATATAATGTGTAATGAAAAAATGTCTGAAGAGTTCATCCTAAGAAAAATCTAAATTATTATATGTAATTAGATTATTTTCTACTAATAAATCTCTTAATTTTGTATCAATATTTTTCCATTGACTTGAATCATAAATATTTATATGACTATAATCACTTATTTCATTAAGATTTTGATTGTCTTCTATTTCATTATCTTTTATTTCACTATTTTCTTTTTCAATATTTTCTATTTCATTATCTTCTACGTTATTACCTTTTGTTTCAATATTTTTTAATTTATTATCTTTTATTTCAATATTTTTTGTTTTATTCTCTTTTATTTCATTATCTACTTGTTCATTTTCAAAATTTTCATCTAAATTTTTTCTTACATTATTTTTGTTACTAGTAACAAATTTATCAAGAGATCATTTTTGAGATTCTATTAGTTGGTCCATTTTTCTTTATTTTTTATTTTTCCTATCCACTTGGTTGTCTTCTAGGTATCATATTATTAATATATTATAACTATATAACAACCAAACAAACACAATATATAGTATAGTTAAAATATATAACACAACCTTGAATTTAAAACATAATTATTTTTTTTTGGAAAGTAAAAAGAAAGCAAAGAACACAAAAAAATTTAAAATTATGAAACAATTGAATCTTGGATAGTCTCAGATGTTGGCTTTTGGTTCTGAATCATGTCACTTATGTTGCAATAGAATCGACGATGGATCATGGATGGTCTCAGTCTCTCAGATGTTGCAATGAAGACTTGGCTTTACTGTGAAAACACTGTGAGTGAGAGAGAGAGAGAGCCTTTAAGTTGTAATGATTTAGCTTTTTAATTTCTTTTAGTTTAATGCGACTTTTGAGTTCAAATTTTTTTTACTGTTAATTTTTTTTTTTGGATATTTAATATTTGGATTGGACTAGGGGCCTAAATAATTAAGTTGACTTATATTTTTATAAGACTTTTTTTACATTGGTTATTTATGATATTTAAAAAATTGGGGCCTTTCTTAAAAATGGGGCTAAAGCCCAAGCTTTTCCAAGCATGCTATTGGGTTGGCCCTAATAAGCTGCCACCAAAAAGACAAACGACTAGTGCAATTAAAGATCTTAACCACTGTGAATGAAGACCCATGCTAGGAAAATGAATAGGAATGATGTCCTATGCTGAAGGATTTAATGCCAACGTTTACATGATGTGGTTGTGGTGATTGGCAGATAGTGGATGTCTACTAGAGATGGCATATGCACTACTAGTAAGATAAGAAGAAAAATCATAAAGTTTAAACTTGATTCCTGTTTTGGGATACTATGTGAGTAGATGAAAAATAGAGGAAAGGGAAGAGGACGCGGGCAAGGACGTCGAGGCAGTGGGTGGAACAACAAACCACCACTGGCCTTTGATCAACAAGCCTTAGTGGAGGCTATTGGTGCTGCAGCTGGTACTATTGCATAGGTTAGTGCTACGGCTGCTACTATTGCACAAGCCAGTGTTATAGCTGCTACTATTGCACAGCCTAGTGCAAATGTGGGCCAAAGAGGCTCAAGTAACCTCCAGAAGTTCAAGGCATACCAGCCTTCGATCTTCATGGGAGGGGCGAATCCGATGGTGGCTGACCATTGATTCCGGCAAGTTGACAAGATCTTAAGGGCTATGGAGATCACCTCTGATGCCACTAAGATAATGTTAGCTACATTCCAGCTAGAGAGAGAATCCTAATTGTAGTGGGATTGGGTGAAGGACTCCAAGAACTTAGAGGCGACGACATAGGGAGAGTTCCGAAAGCTCTTCATGGGCAAATGTTTTTCGGCGTCTATTCAGCAAGCTAAGGCTCGAGAGTTCCTGAATTTGAGACAAGGAACTATGATGGTATTAGAATACGTGGCTAAGTTCACGAAATTAGCCCATTTCACTGATGATTATGTGGCCACAGACATGACAAAGGTGAGGAAGTTTGAGGATGACTTGAAATTGTCCATCTGGGATAAAATTGTGGGCCTCTGCCTGCAAGACTTGGACTCGATGGTCGAGACATCTATGGTCATTGAGAGAGAGATAGATGATCCATGGAGGTTAGAGTACTTGTTTCTATTGCCATCAGCCGGATCACATGATGCGGAATTATCCTCAGAGATAGGGATCTCAGAGTTATGAGGCATCTTAGTCCCAGTCATCGGTGGGGCACTCACAGACTCAGTTTATTCCTACCTACCCCACCATGGGCCAAGGAAGTCAGTACCAGTTTCATGATGCTGCATAGGACCCTACTACTTCACGTGCGGGGATCCAGCAATCAGGCCAGATAGTCTAGAGCATGGGTCGAGG